CCGCAACCCCACGCGGGCCCCGCAGGTCGCCCGTTCCCACGGGCCGGGCCGGGGGCGCCTTCTGCAGCGACCCCCGTGGCTGCGGGCGGAAGGAAAACACACAAGCAGGCCGGGTACATGGATAAATATATTAGTAAATAAATATATTTCTGAGCACGTCAGCATATTCACACATCTTGGTTTCTATCGGACATAAATACAAGTTTTGCATATATATAAAACCTTTTCTTCCTTTTTTTTTTTTTTAGGTCATAATTTATTTCCCAAGCCCCAAGAGCCAGGACAGACTCTGCTGCAAAACAAAAACAAAATAAAAAATAGAAAATAAAACCTATATTCACATTTCCAAAGGATCTGAACTCTAACAAAGGCAGGAGCAGAGTGCTCCGAGCACACGTTGAGGAGGTCCGGCCAGCCTGGGCACCTGCCACCGGCACCCGTCTCGGGGCTGTTGAGGGTCCCGGGAGGATAGTGGTCTCTGGGGCAGGAGCGATGGTTTGGGTATGGATAGAGAGTTCAGGATGCTCTGTCTTCCCCCACGTTTTCACCTGCGGCTTTGCCTGGATCCAAGGAAGCAAAACGAACTCTTGCTTTGCAGTGATACTGAAGAAATTCGGCAGCTGAGCCCACGGACACTGACCACTCAAAATTATCGCTCGCAGATGTGAACGGCACTGAAACCAAGAGGGACCATTTCCCGTTTTCTCAGAGACTGCTTCTTCGCTTCCCTTCTGGGTGGCCAAGAATTGCAGGCTGCAGAAGAGGATTTGAAAAAGGCAACACCTTCCCGGAGAGCTCTTCCCTCTCTTCCCATGTGGGAACCCACCCAGACGCACCTGCAACCTCCCGCTCAGCCGAGCGAGCCGCGGGGAGGCTGCTCCGTGTCTACGATGTCCATTTTCCAAATGAAAAGTAGCAGCAGCATAAAATCAGAAAATGAAAACACTTGGAAGTGGGCATTGCCCTGCACAGCCCAGTAATACTGCAGTAGGGAGTGGAAAGGGTTCCTTATTCCTGACCGCTGACTCCAAGGAGCTTGGGCTTGCTGCCAAGTACAGAGCCCTCCTTTTGGCATACAAGGAGGGGAAGCGAGGGGTACTTTTAGACTGCAAACTGGGTGCAGCTCCTTTGAGGCACTGAAATGCAACCGTGGAGGCTCTCGGGCTTCTTAACTCCCAAAGAAACCAGTGGGAGCACAGTGAATCTTAGCTGAAAGCCCAAACTTCATGGGACCGTGAGAGAGCCAGAGAGCGCTCGGACCTCACAGTCCTCCCCTCTGTGAAGCCATGTGAGCCCTCCAGGATGGTCAAGCTAGTTAAGACTATCCCTATGCCACATGCACAGCTCCTGATTTTTCCTCTAGTTTAAGAATGACTTCCCTGCAGGGGTTAAGATAGAACAGGCTGGATTCCCTTGTTAGAAATCCAGGTCCTCTCTAGGCTGAAAGGTTCTGCATGGCTCCACCACAGGAGACAAGAAAATGAACACTAGGAAGGGAATAATGTTTTGTTTAAAATTCTGTTATTGGCCGACTTTTAGTAAGGTTAGTTGAATGTTGGTGACTGATTGGCAGTTGAGACAAAGATGCCTTTTTTAAAGATGTAGGGGAGCAACCTCAATCTGTAAAGAGCCTTTATCACATACAAAGGAAGGCTGAGGCAGGACTAAGCTGATGTGGTAGCACCTAATCAGGTTCCTCTGTCAAGCTGGGGAAGAAGCAGGTACTTGGAAGGAAGATACAAGGGCTGGTCACAGAGCGGATGGGGGATAGTCTGTCCCCACACTGGGTTTCAAATTGTCAGAAATGACCATAACCTCTAACACAGTGTTCTTGCAAGTACTTCATTAGCAGCAACTCTGAAAGCTCTGCATAGTATCGCTAGCCACATAACGTGCCCTCCGCATGGTGATCTGGCTCTTTGGTCTGCATTAGTGTTTTGGGCAATGAAGACCACAGTCTAATTCCCTGCACTATGAAAGCTGTTTGGATTTTATGTTTTGGATTTCATGTTTTGGATTTCCCAGTCTTTATTTTAGTTGAATGTCCCCAAATCATGAGACATGGGAAAAATCAGAAGAATGATGCTCCTAAGATAAAAAAAAAACAAGGAAAAATAAGTGAATAAACCCAGAGTCTAGAAATTTCTCAAGCTTTCTCTCTCCATCATAAACATGCTAGAAAAGGGAGAAAAGTACTCTGAACCATTACTTTGCAAGATCATTATAAAAGTGTCTCATACAAATAAGAAGATGGGGCTGGGTGGCAGATGGGGCACTGCTCTGCTGTGAAGTTTTACTGCGTGTTTGGGCAGTGAGAGAGGAAGAGAAGCAGCAGGAGCCGTGTGAACGCAAGGATTTCCCGCAAGTTCTGTGATGGGCTTATCTCAGATTTGAAACACACTTAACAAATGTGTTCCTCACAACAGGGCTGGCCACAACACCCGTTTTGAGGGTGGATGGAGGAGTTCAAGGATGAGTGAGAAACTTGTTCACGTTACCAGGCGAGATGATGGATTCTGAGCAACGCAGGGTCTGATCCTGGCTCTTGCCTGGAAATGTCCCTATGCCTTCGTCTCTCCTGCAGCTGGCAAAATTCAGCAAACGGCCAAGATGGTTTCAGCGCAGGGACAGTGAAGTGATGGAAAGCAGTGAGAGCTTTGGTTAGCTTCTAATGAAGTCTGAAAAAGCACCCTGCAGGGCAGGCCTGTGAGTGCACAGATGAAAAATAGCTTGTTCCTCTGTCTGAAATACGAGTGGGAAAAGTTAAATGAGGAAGTTTGGCTTTTGACCTAAGTGAGGAAATGAAGTCAGGAGCTGACAGGCTACAGAAAGCCATTTCTACAGCTTTTGGTCTTGAAGGCTTGTTCATTTTTGGAAGTATTTAGCAATACCTTCTATGGCACGAACACGCCAAAACAGCAGCTTGCCCTCACTCTGTGAGCCCTCCAGCTTGCGGCTTCCAATGCAAGTCTCTGAGTGAGCTAAGCCATGCAAACAGAGGATGCTGGAAGATGAGCTGAAGATGGGCTGTCTGTGCCTTCAAAAGAGAGGGAGACCTGGAAAACATGACTGTGACCACAGCAATGTGGGAACATGTGTGCAGGCCACAAGGGAGTATCATGTTACTTATTTGCAGTTTGTATCTTGGTGTGGGCCATGTATTTATTACATTGCCTGTGCAGAGAGCAAGGTGTGAGCTCCACTACTGCTGGTATTCCAAACTTCTTTATCCACTCCAGGTCTCTGTAGTGAGCAAATGAGCCAGTCTTTTATTAAACTGAGTGTTCATGGACATCCTGGACCTCCTCTTCAGATCCTGCAGTCAGAAAAAAAAGAAAAAGAAAATGTAAACTGTAACTAACTGAACCCTTCAGGATGTTGTGGCTGCTAGAGTCTTAATTCTGCAATACAGAAAACAGACAGTACTGTGAAAGCCACCAGGTTTGTCCCAGTATTTTGGAGGGACTTTCCTGGCTATCTCCCAGACAGTTTATTCCTCTAAGATAACGAATGATCAAACCCACACATAAGACTCTTCAAGCTACTCTTCAGACATCCCAGACAGTTTATTCCTCTAAGATAAGAATGATCAAACCCACACATAAGACACTAAGCTACTCTTCAGACCTTTCAGAAAATACTGGCTAAGGATATGGTGCCTCCTAGGATTCACAGTGCGACCAGATGGCTTTTTGGTGTGTACAACGTGAGGAAAATCTGAACCAACATTTAAAAAAATTCTTAGTAACTGAAAATAACAGATTCGCTTTCACACAGTGCCACTTCCCATGCACAGGGAACAAGGACAAAAGAAACTGCAGAAAACAAAACAAGTCTGCAAGGGTGCGTGCACGCAGCAAGGGACCCCGCGCGGGTCTCTCCGCGGCCAGGAGCAGTGAGCCAAGCTGCACACATTGCTGTCGAGTTCCGAAAAAGAGCAGCCCCGTCGGGTGCTGCTTGGCCACTAACTCCAGTCCTGTGTGCCCAGCGCGCGAGGACGGCAGTTCATGCCCTTCACCAGCTCCTTCTGCCCTGAGAATTATTTACAGGCAGGTCCCAAATCGTTTATATTGAAACATTTCAGCGTAAGGGCTGCCTAGGAACTGTGCGCCCCTAGTTACTGCCTTCAGATGTTCCCTTCCTCTCTGGTGTGCCCAGGTGCTCGTGCACACACCGTGTCCCCTTCCCCAGTGTCCCTTAAGCCCACCCAGAGCTCTCACGTAGTGTAAGCACATCCCAGTAAATGCTTATGTGCATTATTTTTTATACTGCCCTTTCCTTGAATGTTTTTGAGTTCGAAAGGAAAAAAAATGCCTATGTAAATATTTGCAGAAGCATTTCCAAATAACTTTTAAAAACAGTCGCAGCAAATTTTGGTTTGTTACAAGGAATTCACCAGCCATAGAAACAGAACCTCTACAAATTAAATATATAGGAAGAAAACAACTAAATGAGACTTGGCCTTGAAAATGTAGCTAATAGGTGTGGGAAAATTAATGCAGAGGCACAGCGTTTTACATGTACATGTTAACAGAAGACAGTATTTTGGAGTATTTGGCATTTGTGATTTGTATAACCAGCACATTGAATAGTCCATGGCTAATTACTGTCCCTGCATACAACACAAAAGACACTTTGCAGCTTCCCTCACTCTGTGATCGGTCAGAAACCCTGAGTCCAAACTCGCATTAATAAAATATTTGCTGAAAGCTCTGCCTCTGTGAGCGTCCTCCACTTCCTGACGCCGCTTTATGGACGGGCAGGGTCACCAAACAGGCCCTGTGTTGGCAGCTGCAGAGGTGGCAGAACTCAGCTCCTGAACCCCACAGGGCGAAGGAGCCGAGGGACCTCACGTTGGTGACACAACAGGACTCTGGTTCCTTGGGTACTGTCTGTTAACACAGCGTGTTCTGTCCTCTGATCCAAGTCATGACCAAAGAGCGGACAAGGAAGAGCACGGCTAGGAGGGAAGCAGGAGAGGCCGCGGTGCTGACAGCTGAGATTTCCCAGGAGGAGCAAGCAAGGGACCTCATGACCCTGCTGCCTGCGGATGACAGCAGTACATGCAGGGTCCTGGAGGAAGCCATCGAGCTCTAATTCACTGCTGGCTCCCTGGTTTCTCTTCAAGGGTGCATGCAGCCCCGCTCAAGGATGGGATCCTCCAGTGGAACCCGTCAGTGCTGTAACTTCCATGTATAGTTTCCAAGGCAAAGCAGCGGGAGAACAGCTTTATGCGAAGCTCCCCATGGAAAAACTGGAGGGGTGCTGAAGGAGACTGCATAAGCCTCAAGGTCAAGCAAGGATCTCCGGGCTAGTCCGTGGCACTGGCTGTGGGCAGCGCGTGGAAGAGCCTGCCCAGCTGGAGCTTCCCGGGGGGCTCATGGACGAAGCAGCAGCCCCAGCTTGCAGCTGGGGGAGGGAAGGATGCACCCCGAGGGTACTGCATCCCACAGGATCCCCGCAGCTTCTGGAAACCCTGGTTTAGGGACTTCCTGAGCCAGGGAGTGTATTTGCATCTCTCTCTGATAGCTCTTGATCTAGGATCTTGAACCCGTTTTAGCATCTACAACCTCTGGGCGAGGAGCACCACAATTTCATTACGTGCTCTGTGCTACCTTATTTGGTGTTTTAAAGCTTCCATCTCCCATTTGATGCCATGAGATATTTTGTTCTAAGCAGCAGTGAATAATATTTCTTACCTTCCTTCTCCCCTAGTCACCATGATTTCTCAGATCAGTTTTACATCCTTTCCACAGGAAAGTCTCTATTTTCTTTCTTTTTTTCCTCAAACCTCACATCTTTGTGTACTTTTCCTAATTCTACTATCACTTTCCTCGAGAAGGGCTGACAAGAACTTTGTGGTAGATCCTAGAGGTGAATGTGCTGCCGAGTTAGGCAGTTACTTGGTGTTACTTTCTGCTTGGCCTTGTTCTCTTTCC